CCCCCCCCCCCCACCCTTAGCTCAAAGTCTGGATCCGCCCCTAGCCAGCGAGTTCCAAAAGCCATTTTGGCGGTACTTAGATGGCGAAGGTTTTTTGACTCAACCGGACGACTTCGAAAGTCTTATTTTATTTTATTGCTTTCATTTTCTCTAAGAGCTATAGTGAGAAGAAGACATCAACTGATCCTCTTTGAACTTATATTTAGTCTATTTCTTTAAACTGTTTCGTCTGATGAGTACAGACTTCCAGAAGCTTTCAAGATTGAAATTTAATGTTACGGCTCACGGTTTTAACGTTTGAAACATTAGCCTCAAGATCAGTAAACATTAAACTTAGCCACAAATTGTCCAACTAATACGAGTCTCTTTTAGAATTGTGGCCCCGTCCACGCTAATGCGTTTTTAAAGGTATCCGTTTTTGTCTCAAAACAAAACGAAGCAAAGTATTTTGGCCCACGCTAGCGTTTTCGTTTTGTTTTCACCTCTCCACACTATTGCGTTTTCGTTCGAAAACGGAGACTTCTTGATGCGATTTTCTCCTATCGTCCAAAGCCGACTAATCAACCTAGCCGGCCAAGCAAAAACGCCTTAAGCACTACGGCCGGAAACGGTTGATCCAGTAGTTTATAACTTCGTAGTCGTAGGATCATCGGATATCCGAAGTGTCGTGTTGGTTCATAACTTCAATTCGTGGTCGTAGCATCGTCGGATATCCGAAGTGTCGTGTTGGTTCATAACTTCGTAGTCGTAGCATCATCGGATATCCGAAGTGTCGTGTTGGTAATAAGCCCGATTCTCCGCTATCTGAAAAAAAAAATCATTGAAACTTACTTAGAACCTTTTGAGGGACATTTTAGGCAAATGAAATTAACAAACCAAGTGATGCCAGGGCACCACTATAGCCCAGTTTCGAGTTCGCCATGACCGCTGAATATAAGCACTGAGAACGCATTTGCACAGGGTTAGCCTCGACCTAAAAAAATATTCACAAATACGGGTGGGAAGTTAAGGCGCCACAAATTTAAAAATTAAACAATACTCAAAGCTGTAAACAGGTCATCTTTTCGCTGGAATTTGTAAATATGTTACTCTAGGTCGAGGCGAACCCTGTGCAAATTCGTTCTCAGTGCTTTTAATCAGCGGTCATGGCGATCTCGAAACTGGACTATTAAAGGAATTTTGTAGGGCAAGGATAGCTAAAAAGGTTAAAATGTTTCAAGACTGAGCCCGGGATACAAATCAAGTTATTATGGCACAATTGTGAAATCCCCATAATAACCAATTTCTACGACAGCTTAGAAAGCGCTTCTAAAACCTTAGACTTCTCTTAACCATTTGTGCCAGCTTTGTGCTTCCCACAAAGCATCTTCCTCCACCACAAAGGTACGAGAAGTCAGAGATTTCTGATTGATGGCGTGTTAGGAAACTGGTCAAGACTACGTACCAACTAGAATAAATCAAAATGTAGAGCCCTCCCCCTATACAGTAACAAAAGAGATGCCCTAGTAGTCCCACGATTTACTCTCACCACTTTCGTGCCCCTCAAAACCCTTTGCAATTGGCGTTACTGTGGAATTTCTTGCCCAAGTACCAAGAAGAGTCTAAAGGCCTATTCTTTGAAACCGTTTGCTTCTTAATCTTAACATTTCGACGTATGCAATCGGGGAGGGGGGCAGAGGGGAGGGCTTCCTTGTGAAAGTCGGGGATGCTCGTCGTCTCGCTTAGAAGTGTAAATCACGAACTTTGTCCCCCCTCCCCCCCCCCGCCCTAGGATTTTCAGGACAAAACCCTATTATTTTTAGCCGTCATGGGACCTTTTAGGGTTGTACTCGAAGAAATAAAAAAAACGCTGTCTGTCTGTTGTAAAGTGATATCTTCAAGGGGTCAAATAAAGCTCGAGCCAAGCCCATATTGGTTTCTTTTAGGGGTTTATTTCATATTTTTCGACAAGCATGCCCGATCTTTTCGTGGGGAGTCCCTCCCCCAGGGCGTACACATTGGCTGTCTCAAAAAATTTGCCCCAGACCGAAATATACGTTCCTTTGGAAACTCATTTTAAAATAATTCAGTAGCTTGAGTAACCTGAGCATTCAATGGACTGTGGAATGAAAATTGGCCCGTAAACTTTACTTACTGACAATCGCATGGGAGGCTTCTGAAGAAATTCCAGCGTGACGTCATCACCCATGAGCACAAACGGAGCCCATTGCGCGACGTCACTGAACCTGTCTGATTCTCTTAGGCGTTTCATGGCCTTGTTTAAAGCTTCACTGGATCGTCTTCCTTCAGCTAGATGGTAGTAGAAACTTTCCATGAACTCAAGAGTGGCCTCGTCATCGACCGCCCACAATGCCACCAGAACCGAACGAGCACCTGCGGCTAGAAAAGCCCTTGCAATGCCAGTCGTACCCTCGGCGGCCTTGATAGTCCCTTGACCACTGTGAAAAGTACTCAGTACGACTAATAGTGACTTTACTCGCACCTTAAGCACCTCTTCCACTGTCAGCAGGCAGTCTTTCTTCAATAGCTTCATGGATGGCGGTGTTGGATTGTTCGGGGCCAAAGCAATTACACCCACGACACCACTACCGTGAGCTGCAATGTGCACTAAAGCACTATTTCTCAATCCTTTCAGCACTGCCATTTTTGTAGCGTTTGCTCCAGTTAGAGGTTGAGTGTTGATTAATTTCCCGATCATTTCGACTTCTTTCCTTGCATGTGGAAGATTTGGNTTACTGACAATCGCATGGGAGGCTTCTGAAGAAATTCCAGCGTGACGTCATCACCCATGAGCACAAACGGGGCCCAGTGCCAGACTTCCTTTGATTTTCTTAGGCGTTTCATGGCCTCGTTTAAAGCTTCACTCGATCGTCTTCCTTCAGTTAGGTGGTAGTAGAAACTTTCCATGAACTCAAAAGTGGTCTTGTCATCGACCATCCACAATGTCACCAGAACCGATCGAGCACCTGCAGCTAGAAAAGCCCTTGCAATGCCATTCATACCCTCGGCGGCGTTGATTATCCCTCGACCACTGTGACAAGTACTCAGTACGACTAATAGTGACTTTACTCGCGCCTTAAACACCTCTTCCACTGTCAGCAGGTAGTCTTTCTTCAATGGCTTCATGGATGGCGGTGTTGGATAATTCGGGGCCAAAAGAATTTCACCCCGTTGGGCATGACCGTGAGCTGCAATGTGCACTAAAGCATTATTTCTGAACCCTTTCAGCACTGCCATTTTTGTAGCGTTTGCTCCAGTTAGAGGTTGAGTGTTGGTTAATTTCCCGATCATTTCGACTTCTTTCCTTGCATGTGGAAGATTTGGNCAATGCCAGTCGTACCCTCGGCGGCCTTGATAGTCCCTTGACCACTGTGAAAAGTACTCAGTACGACTAATAGTGACTTTACTCGCACCTTAAGCACCTCTTCCACTGTCAGCAGGCAGTCTTTCTTCAATAGCTTCATGGATGGCGGTGTTGGATTGTTCGGGGCCAAAGCAATTACACCCACGACACCACTACCGTGAGCTGCAATGTGCACTAAAGCACTATTTCTCAATCCTTTCAGCACTGCCATTTTTGTAGCGTTTGCTCCAGTTAGAGGTTGAGTGTTGGTTAATTTCCCGATCATTTCGACTTCTTTCCTTGCATGTGGAAGTTCTGGCACAAGTCTCTGCCCAAAACTGTTAACCACCTTGCTGAGATCTGGATCTCCCACGAGCAGAGCGCCTCTGAGATAACCTTGTGGACAATCTGTAATCAGTTTCAAAGTCGTCAGTGAAGGAGCGAGTCGGGTTCTTAAAGATTCGTGCAGGTACTTCGAATCAGGATCAACAAGTGCAGCGAAAGGTACCAACCACAGTGGACCACAAGGAATTATAACGAGCTCATCACCTTTAAGATGTTTTACTATAGGGCCAATAGTTAGATCGTACCAGGTTCTGCACAGCTCAGGGCAGTTGCGGTCATGCTGGAAATTTCGTAACATTTTCAGAATGCTTTGTTTGGTACCGGCAGGGAGCGCAGTTGTTTCAAATCGCACACCTTGGTCTGGTGTTAGCAGCCAAATTCTTATGGTTTTGTTGTCTGTAGCAAAGAAAACTGTGTTCGTTGAAATATACTTCCATACATCTGACACTGTTTCTTGTTGTTTAAGTTGGTATGTTAGAATTCCATAACGGGACTGAATAGCGTGTGCGAGAGCCTGGGCACGAC